GTAATACGTTTATACACTTATTTGTGTTAAGCAAAAATTACAGGAGACCATTGTTTTGATCTAAACCGCACTAGCCCCCAACAGACCAGTTTAAAAATCAAAATGGAGTCACAGTGGTCACCAAACTGAAACTGAGTTGTTACCTGGCCTCCAAAGAAATCAGGAGAGGAAGGTAACAGCCTAATTTTGCAAACAGGACAGTTTCAATCTTCAATCAGCATGATAATGAAATTCCCTCTGTTTTAATCCTTTCAACAAAAAGTAACCCGAAGTAATCTGAAGTGAACCGGTTATTTTTTTTCCTTGCTCCATCTCACTATCCCCTCTACAAAGTTACTTTGTAAGGAAAGTAACTTTGTAATGACCAATTTACTTTTTGTTCTTCATTTCAACTTTCTTCAGCCCTTTTTCTGTCTATAAAGTTAATCTCCAGTTTGATTCATTGGAACACTTATCCTATTTTATGGAATGAAGTGTTGGCTGATTCTAGAATCTAAATAGAGACAACGAAGATTTTGAAATTTGTTGTAGTTATTCATTTGTGCTGCTCTCTTTCTTGAATGCCCTTTCTCATTATTCCACTAACCAAATTCTTCAAATAAGCCTACCTGGCAAGTGCCAGATGTAGTGAGTGACATATAAAAACTTAATATACGCCTTTTGCTTTTTAAAGCTGCTTTTTGCCACACAATCTTTTCTACATACCTCTCTTGTGTAGCTTATCACTTTGTTTTATTTAATGTAAACTGCTTAGATTCCTGGATATCAAATACTCTAGAAAAACTCGTATTCAGTCTTAGTCCTATGTGTACCCAGCACAAAGTATAAGTGTTTAATAAATCTTTCCTCAGTGAATGGGGGGAAAACTCAGTGTGAGAATCAGAAAAGCCTCTGGTGGAAACTGACAGCTGAAATGGGACAGGAAGTGGAATGGAGGTGCAGTAGCACGCAATGAGGTCCTACTACGTGCCAATTATTGGGTTGAGCACAACTTTAGCTCTCGTTTCATTTAACCCTTTACAAAATCCTAAAGAGTTGTACCAACGTCATCTCCACTGTACAGATGAGGAGTCAAGGTTAGTGAAGTTAAGAAACTTTTTCACTAAGGTCACAGCCAAGTCTGGGTCTTTCCAGTACTGTACTTGTCACCTGTGCTCCTTCCCCTTTAACACTCCCCTTTCTTCACCCAAAGTCGAGGACTTCCTAAGTAACACGCAGCTTGCCCTTCGCTGATGCAACCACAAGGTTTCGCTGAGTGGGGAGGCGGGAGGCCCTTTCCAGATTCACAGGCCCCGCCCCCTGGTTTACTGGTTACGTCATCACGCAGGGCCTAGGCGGCGCGGGCACGTCCTTTAAATAAGGCCTGCTGCTGGCGCGCGCGACAGTGTGCGGAGTGGGGTGGAGCGAGTGTGGAGTCTGGTTTGTGGCCGGGGCCAGAGCCGCCGCGGACCGTGAGGTGGGCGGAAAGGCTAGCTGGCAGCGAGAGGCGGCAGGGAGGGTGCTGCCTTGTCCCCGGGCGCGCTCGTGAGAGGCGGGAGGGAACATGGCGGCGCCCTCGGCGGGGCCGCGACCCTTCGCTCCCGGTTCTGGCTTTGCCCCTACCCCGCTTTGCTTGCCCCCTTACCTGCCTTCTCGCAGCCTTGTTTACCGTCTCCTTTCACCTCCCTTCTCTTAGCCATTGCTTTTGCCTTCATCGACTCCCCCTTTCCAGTCCCACATGGGGTCGGAGTGTTAAGAGATGGATTAAGTGGAAGCCGGTCAGGCCCGTCCAGCGCCAAGAGACCGACCTCCTGGATTTTACTGTTAGTTTCTCCCATGACACTATCGATCTGCCTGTGTGACAAGAGAAGCACTGCACGTGGAGAGAGGTTAAGTCAGATTTGCAGTCCTGATGCTGTCTCTTAGTGAGCACGTGAAATGTAACTTAAGGTGCCTGGACCGCCTCAGATGTGAAGTTCTTTGTGTAGGGCTAAGATTCTAGAGGGCTTTTGTCATGCATTGCCTGCCAGAAACTGCCCCATACAATGTATGACTGGGAAAACAGAAGCAAGATTTAGTTTGGCAATCAGGGAGTGGAGGAGAGCGGAGTGAGAGCTCCCTGTCAATTTGATTAGTATGTAAGCAACGAAAACACCATACTGTTGAGGCTGTTATTTCCTTAGAGCGTCCTATAAGAAAGAGTCATCCTACCTTTTCCTTGATGCTATGCTATGAAGAACCTTGGGAACCTTTATCTGTTTGCTGTATTCTTAATTTTAAGTGCCACAGTCAGTTGAGAGGGGTTCTTCCTTACCTCAGTTAACAACACCTGGCTTAGCCAATCCCTTGCTTTTGATCCTGACCTTTTTCTTTTCTTTCTTCTCAGTTGGGTGTAGATTCTGGAGGTATCCTACTTCTGTTGGAGCTTTTGTGGCCAGGCAGCAGAATTGGGAGCTAGAGTGAAGCAGAACTCTAGGAAAATTAGCTCCAAGATGGCGATGAGTGAGCCAAGACTGAACTGGTGAGTTGAATCACTTTGTAATCCACTGAAGACAAGTGAAGTGAGATTGGTGTCCCCGTAAGAAGGGGTTTCTGGCTTGAAGAGATGTGGAAAAACAGGTTAAAAAATGTAAGTTCAGGGTCTCAGAGTTTAGCTTACTTATCTTCACATACTGAACACTTTTGACTAGCTGACTGTACCTCCACCCTTAAAATGACAACAGTTCTGCACCCAAGTTGTTTTTAGGTATGAGTCTATCGTGTATTTCTTGTTGGTCTCTTCTGAAGGAGAGATGCTGGAATTTTCTTGTCTAAGAACTGTACCCAAGGGCTAGAGGGTACGGCTCAAAGGAGTAGGGCACCAGCCCCATATGCCGGAGGTGGCAGGTTCAAACCCGGCCCTGGCCAAAAAAAAAATAATAATAATAAGTTTTAAAAATAAATAAATAAGAACTGTACCCATTTCTATACAAGTATTAAAAAAGACCCTCTTTAAGAATAGACATGCTTTTTATTATATTTGAATCTTTATTAAATGATAATATAAATGCATAGACGGTATTTTAGAAGTATATGGGAACTTAGCAAATAGAGAACCAGTTAAGTAATACATGGTTTTGTAGAGATTCAACTAATACATTTGCTGCTTTAGGTCTTTTTAACACATGTTAACTAAGTCAGGCAAGGAAGATACACAAGTCACAAGAGTTTATAAAGATTATTAAAATAGTACCTGATTCAAAGAATATCAAATCAGTAAGTTCAATAAGTATTTGTTTATTTGTTTTGAGA